GTTTATAAAAGATGTTCTATAATCCTTAATGAACAAGTCAAAAAATTAATTAATAAGTCAATTAATGTATGATATTATAAGACAAATTATAATTTTTCAAATGCTATAGAAAATTTCAGAACTATATTGACTATCTGAAAAACACTTTTAAGAATTATCTAATTTTATGTGTTTTTACCTTAAATGTCTAATGAAAAGCTCCTCCTCGATATTTAGCACATTGCTGCTTAAACCCTCCTTTCTCTCATTTTTATTTTTCCCAATTTATATTTTTTTTTAATGACTGGTAAGCATTTGGCTGCTTATGATGTTTTATCATTACTGTACTTAGTCTCCTTTCTCTGAGCTTTAAAATGTATTTTTTACATTCCATCAGTAAATATTTAATATTGACATTTTCACAATGACTTGATACAACAAAGATCCTCATGCACGAAGAAAGAAGCACAGGCAATTTTCTCACATGTGAAGAAGTACTTTGACATTTAGCACAAGCTAAAATGCTTTTCACAGGATTGAATAATCACTACAAACCAGGACATAAGTCCTAATTAGAATGTTTGTGAATCTACTCTCTCCACCCATACACTGTTTCAAAGTCATCTGGACATGGTTGGTGAAACCATCACTAAAACAAAACTTTATGAAAACCTAGAAATTGTGAATAAAATTAAGTATAATTCAAATAAAGTGATAATATGCTGAGGTGATGTGGCTCAAGCGGTAGCGTGCTTGCCTGGCATGTGCGTGGCACTGGGTTCGATCCTCAGCACCACATACAAATAAAGATATTGTGTCTGCCGGAAACTAAAAAATAAATATTAAAAAAAAAAATTCTCTCTCTCTCTCTCTCTCTCTCTCTCTCTCTCTCTCTCAAAAAAAAAAAAAAAAAAAAGAGGGGCTGGGGATGAGGCTCAAGTGGTAGCGCGCTCACATGGCATGCGTGCGGCCTGGGTTCGATCCTCAGCAACACATACAAACAAAGATGTTGCGTCCGCCGAAAACTAAAAAATAAATATTAAAAAAAAAAAAGAAAGATGTGTACTATTAAAAAAAAAAAAAAGAGGTGGCAAAGTAAAAAAGGAAGAGAAAGGGCAAAAAAAGAAGAACCAGTCTTCCCAATGACAGGTTCTCATTCTCGAAGTCAATAATCAAGGAGAACTGAGGATAATGTGCAGGTACCTGACAACTTGAGCTGAAAATCTGCCTCTGCCATTTGTTAGCTCTGTGATTACAAGCCTCAGCACCCTCTACTGCAATAGGATATTAAGGGCACCTACTTCATGAAGTTATTAACTGAGAAAACTCGTGTCAATTGCTTAGCAAAATTCCCGATACTGAGAAAATATATTTAGAATGTTAGATGCTTATCATTATAACCTCTGCTATGAGTCAAGCATTTTGTTCATACCCCAAGTAGACTTGGATTACATCATTCCTCTACTTGAAATGTCACTAAATTTCCACTGCCTGAAGAGCTAACTCCAAACATGCTATATTCGCTTGCTTGTCAAGTCTTTCCATATGAAGTTCATTTCTCATGGAGCATTCCTCCCCCTCTCTTTCAGCATGTACACATCACTTCTGAGAGCCCTTCAATGACACATGGCCTAGTCTAAACCAAGCAGCTTAACATTCACAGGGATATCTGCAATCAGAACTGTGTCAAGATGACAGTAAAAGCTAACATGCTGAGAATGGCCTGTGGCTTACTCTCCACACTCTTTATTAATTAGCAGTAAGTGTACCCCTGGTTCAAGCCAGACATGAACAAATGACAACTCTTGGGCCAAACCCAGCCAGCTGCCCGTTTCTATAAATACTGTTTCACTAGAATAAAGCCTGTTAGTTTAGTATTATCCATGATTGTAAAGTTCAGCAGTAGCCCCAACAGAGGCCATAATGCCCACAAAGCCTAAAGTATTTACTACCTAGCACTTCACAAAAAGTTCACTGATCCCTGGGTTTAAGCTATTATTAGTTAGATTTCATTACTGATGGTCAATAGAATCCCAACTGACATGAGGTTTCCACAGGTTTTTTTTGCCTTCCCTACCAAAACATGTATCTGACTTCACCAGAGTTACCTGCATATCTTCCCTCCTATGTATGTTTGTCTTCCCATTTGCATAAAAGCTCCAAGTAGTTCTAGCACTAACATTATGTCCCTAATATAATACACCACCTGACAAACAACAGCATTTATATACCATTGACTTTAAAAGTGAACAAATAAATTTGGTAACCAATATTTATTATCTATTAATGTACACCAGATGCTCAGAATAATACAAGAATATGAGTTGTGACTGGCTTCTAGAATTAGGCTTAAGAAATAAAAATGTATGCTTTAAAAATAACAAATTATTACCAGACTACTGATTAACACACCTACAATTCCAGCGACTTGGGAGGCTGAGGTAGAACAGCAAGTCTAAGGCCAGCTTTAGCAACTCAGCAAGACCCTATCTCAAAATAAAACATAAACAGATCACAGGACATGGGTCAATGGGTTCAATCTCCAGTACCACAGAACAAACAAACAATGAGGGGAAAAAAAAAAAAAAAAAGCCCATTCCGGAAATCATCTGACCAGCTTCTTACACACTCTCTCTTTTCTCTTACCTTTTAAATCCTCCCAATCAAGTCTATGCCATTGCATAAGTATTACCCTGGAAAACTTAATAAAAGTGGGAAGCAAAAATTTAGTGATCAGTAAAAATCTGTTTCACTTCTCACAGCCATGTAATAGCTAAAAGCTAAACTAAAAGAAATATCTAAAGAAGCAGCAAGGTAGCTACCTGATTGACTCTCCTGCCACACACACACACACACACACACACACACACACACACACACACACGTGAATAAACCCAGGGGTACTGTATCACTTAGCTACATCCCCAGCCCTTTTTATTTTGAGACAGGGTTTCCCTGAGTTGCACAGGCTGGCCTCGAACTTGCGATCCTCCTACATCAGCCTCCTGAGTCATTGGGATTCAGTTTCCTAAGTCATTGGGATTCCAGGCGTGTACCACTGTTCCCAGCCTTGATTTTAGACATCCTCTTAATCCATATTTTCCAGCGTCAGACTCTCTCTGCAACCACCCTTAACATGTATTATTCTAATAACTTTCTCTGTTTACCAAGAAACTTCTTCTATATGATTCCTGGCTCTCCCTCTGTTCTAATACCTCTAACTCTGCTTTCAATCCTTAGAACTAGACATATAACACCTATCTCTTCTACTATAACATTAAATAATCCTTAAACTGTAACAATAAATGCTGGAGAAGCTGTAAGAAAAAAAAAAAGGAATTCTCATACACATTGGTAGGACTCCACATTAGTCCAACCACTAAGGAAATCTGTATGGAGGTTTCTCAAAAGACTTGTCATGGAACCTCCATATGACCCAGTTCTGATTGCTCAGTATGTACTCAAAAGAATGGAAAAGGACAGCATACTATTGAGATACACATGTATACATATTTCTGACACCACAATTCTCAACAGCCAAGGTGTCTATCAATAGACGAATGAATAAAGAAAATGTGCTATCTATTTATAATGGAGGTTGATTTAGTCATAAAAAAATGAAATATTGTCATTTTTCAAGAAAATGGATAGGACTGGAAAGCAAAATTTTACGTGAAATAAGCCATACACAGAAAGACAACAGTGAGATGTTTTCTTTCGTATGTGAATGCTAGAGAGGAAAAAATGGGGGTGGGATGGGTTGGAGGGGAGGCAGACCTCATGAAAATAGAGACCAATAGAGTGCAGGAAGAGAATCAGGGGGAGAAAAGGAAATGGGTCACAGGAGGAAGTGGGGAATGAAATGTTATGTTATGTGCATGTATGAATATGTCACAATAAAACACACTATTATGCATAATTATAACATGCCAATAAACCTTTAAAACTAGTACAGAACTCAGAATTCTGGTAAGATTACAACTACTCAATGTGCATTCATGGTTGTGAAAAGACAGAATCACATAATAATGTTCTCCTCTTTCAAACTTCCACTCTAAATGTTTCAAAGAATATTGAAAAGCCAGCACTCTATAATGTCACTGTAAATGTGGAAACACATATACACACAGACAACTGTGAAACCAGGGTGAAGGAAAAGCTTCACATCCAGTACTTTCATAAACTTAATAATTCTTCACAGAATTAAGATCTCAGGAAACTATATCCCAGATCCTGGTTTAATTAACCATGAAAACAGATGAAGAGAAGCACTTTTACACTGAACCACTAAAGGAAACTCATTCACGTAAGATGTTGAAAGACTGACGAAGGGAGATAAATTCCAAAATGTCCTACTTCATAGACTGAAAGACCCCAAAGCCAATTTTGAATAAAACAAACAGAAAACTGTAAACTTAAGCTGATAACACTTCAGTTTCATTTTAACATTTGCTAATTTGACAAGTTGTAATGAGTAGAATTCAGCCTCCAAATGGACTGAACCAGTATAACTGTTTCAATGATCTAATACACATCTACACGCCTGCACCCTAATATTGCCCAGAACCCCACTCTACAATAAAAATTAAACCACATGATTCCCTCACTGTTTCACCTTTATTCTTTCCCCTAACACCTTTCCTGTAAGTTATTAGATATCTTTAACTACTAAGTTGTCTTCAAATTTTAAATACATATTCATGATAAAGAAACAGGATGTGGAATCTTCCTAAAGAATTATGCAAATTTTTCTTTACATATTAAGTTTTGATACTGTTATTTGCTGTCTGCTTCTCAGATGTATTGTTATTAAATGAAAACAGACGCATGCCACAAAAACATGAGCTAAATTTTCCTATCCTTTCTTCCTTCTCTGCAGATGCTCTGTCATTGTCTTCTTCTTCTCTTGACAGTAATCAAGCACAAGGGTGGAAAGAGGAAAAAGTTGGAATAGGAAGACTCGGCCTGTGTGCTGCCCAGCACCGCTGAGCCCTCTCTACATGGGTTTCACTCCCACTCACCCACGTTTGCTGCTGTGTGGCTCTTTGTCCTTGCCCTTATCCTTCTCCTTCTCCCGCTTCTCTTTGTCTCTGCCTTTCCGTCTCTCTCGATCCCTGGAACGGCTGCGGGTTCTTCTGTGACTGGACCTCTCACTGCTACGACTGTGGGAACGTGGTCGAGGTCTTGACCTGGACCTGAGCAAGAACATTTTATTAAAGAAATTTAGTGCACATTCAGTATTTTAATAAGTAGATTATTTTCAAATTATTTCAAGAAATATTTAGTCTTAACTGTGAAGCAAGCAACTGAAGATGACGTTTTATGAGTAGGTGTTTTCAGGTAAAAATGACAACAAAGGGATGTTAGTTTATCATATTCAATAGGATACCAACACTTTCACATGTTCATTCCATTGTCTACTGGTCCTTCACCTTGCTCTAAGGTGAGAGGACTGTTTGTCTCGTCCTCTTCCCATTTTCGCCCCCCAACTTTCTGCCTTCTGCACTTGCCTTACTGAATGGATACTATCTGCCATTTATTCTGTAACATTAATAGACTTAATTATGTGGACCCTAAACTTTGCTAATTACTAAAGTGCTTACCTTGTGATAACTTTGTAAATATTATTCAATGAAGAGAATGCCTATTATGAATAATTTTCTTTCATATTTTTCCTTTTTGGGACACTGGCGATATAATCTAGGAGTACTTCACACTGAGCTCCATCCTCAGTCCTTTCTATCCTTTATTTTGAGACAGAGTCTTGCTAAGTTGCCTAGGCTGGCCTTAAATATGCAATCCTCATGCCTTAGCCTCCCCAGTAGTTGAGATCACAGGCTGCACCACCTCAACAGCCCAAAATAGTTTCTTAAAGGTTAACTGCAATGCAGAATGTGATATCACATCATTGTTGTTTTCTTTTGTTGTTAACATTAAAATCTATTGATTTATCTCATTAAAAATGACACATAAGGAAATACATGTTGTCAACTCTGCAGGATATTAAGGTTCAGTCAGAAAGTATTCCCAAGTGAAAAACTTTTTGTTTGGTTTTTGCTGTTGTTTTTCAATGGAGACACCCTATGCTGCCAGGGCTAGTCTTGAACTTCTGAGCTAAAGTGACCCTCCTGCCCCAGCCTGCTCAGTAGCTAGGATCACAGCACCACCACTCCTGGCAACAAGTCCAAGTCTTCAAGGTTCAAATCATTTCTTGATTATTTACACCTACTCAGATAATACAAAAGACCAAGTCCTACAATCTCTGCTTCTTCGTTTATTTAACCTTGTTTTATTTGTTTCAATAAGACTGTTCATTTACTCTAATCCACCTATTCTTCATAGAAATGAATGACAGTGTTGGCAGGATACATTATGCACTAAAAAGTAACAATTTCAGGTCCTCATTAAGGTACAGATGAGAAAGCCTATCCTAGACTGGCAATGCTACATAAAAATAGACCCAAATCTTCACCATGACAGCTTAGGAACTGATTTCCTTAAAGAGACTCCTAAAGTGCAAGAAGTAAAATCAAGAATCAATAAACAGGACGGATTCAAACTGAAAAGCTTTTTCTCAGCAAAGGAAACAATCAATAACATGAAGAGAGGGCCCACAAAAGAGGAGAAAATCTTTACCACATGTACCTCAGAGTATTAATCCCCAACATATATAAAGAACTTAAAAAAACCTCAACATACATACATACATACATACACCAAAAAAAATAATAATCCAGGGGCTGGGGATGTGGCTCAAGCGGTAGCACGCTCGCCTGGCAAGCGTGCGGCCCAGGTTCGATCCTCAGCACCACATACAAACAAAGATGTTGTGTCCACTGAAAACTAAAAAATAAATATTAAAATTCTCTCTCTCTCTCTCTAAAAAAATTCAATTCATTAAAAAAATAATAATAATCCAATCAATAAATGGGCTAAGGAACTGAACAGGCATTACACAGAAGAGATATAATCAATCGACAAATGTGAAAAAATGTTCAACATCTCTAGCAATTAGAGAAATACAAATCAAAACTACTTTAAGATTTCATCTCACTCAAGTCAGAATGCAATTATGAAGAATTCAAGCAACAATAAATGTTGGTGAGGATGTAGGGGAAAAGGTACACTCATCCATTGCTGGTAGGACTGCAAATTGATATAACTACTCTGGAAAGCAGCATGGAGATTGCTCAGAAAACTCAGAATGGAACCACCATTTGACCCAGCTATCCCACTCCTCCGTCTTACCCAAAGGACTTAAAAAATCAACATACTACAGGGGCTGAGGTTGTGGCTCAGCAGTAGACCGCTTGCCTAGCACATGCGAGGCCCTGGGTTCAACCCTCAGCACCACATAAAAATAAATAAATAAAATAAAGGTATTGTGTCTATCTATAGCTATATAAAAAAAATCAACATACTACAGTGACATAACCATAAATGTGTTTGTAGCAGTACATTTCACAATAGCTAAACTATAGAACCTAGTTGTCCTTCAACAGATGAATAGATAAAGAAAATGTGGTGTATATATACACAATGGAATATTATTCAGCCATAAAGAATAAAATTATGGCATTTGCAGGTAAATGGATGGAGCTTGAGATTATCATGCTAAGTGAAACAAACCAAAGGCCACATGTTTTTTCTGATATGGAAGGAGCAGGGGCAGGGAGCACCTGGGGAAAAAAAGAGGTACTTTAGGTTAGGCAGAGGTGAGTGAAGGGAGGAAGAGCATGGAGGTAGGAGGGTAATTGGACATTATATGTATATTATATATATGATTACACAACTAGTGTGATTCTAYATCATGTACAACCAGAAGAATAAGAAATTATATTCCATTCATGTATGACGTGTCAAAATACCTTCTACTGTTATGTATAACTAATTAGAACAAGAACAACAAAAAAGACACACAAAACCCACAAAGGCACTGGAGAATGACCAAGACAGCAGGGATATTTTGCAGGGGCCAATACGTGGAGAAATGAAACAACAGTGGGGAAGTAGCCAACATTATCAGCTTTGACTCAGAAGGGAAGCTTAAGTCTGTACCCTGATGAAAACGCCAAATGGATCAGAAAACTGCTGGCTTCCTGGTCTCCCCAAAATAGGAAGACTAACTTGAGCAAGCATGGCAACAGGTAAATGAGAGAGAAACCCTGTTTTTTAAAAAAAAGCCAAAGGAGGGACCAAAAATTCTCTATACAGACTCCATCTATATCTCCAGCTGACTCCTGAATCAGCATATGAAGATCAGACTCCAAATAACTAAGAATAAAATGCTGAACCAAAATTTCAGCTGTCCCCACAGACAAACTTTGAAATTTTAATTTCAAAGTTAATTTTCCAGCTAATTTCCTATTATAACAAAAAAAATTTAAAAAATAGTGTTCAGAAGAATATAACACAACATTCACAGCATGATGTCTGCCATGTCTAGAATAAAATCCAAAATTACTAGACATTAAAAAAAAACAGGTAAAAATGTGCTCCATTCTAATTTTTTAAAAAAAGGTAGTACATGTAGGCTAACTCAAAAAATGAATCAAAAATGAATCAGATATTAGAATTAACAGAAAAAAACTTAAAGTAGTAAAGTATACTATGCTTGTAAGTATAGTATAACTATGCTTGGAATGAATATAAAGCTAAGCAATCTCAGGGGAGAAAAAGGAAAAAAAAGAAAAAATAGAAATTCTATAACTGAAGAATGTAATTTCTGAAATTAAAATTATGCTGAATATGATGAAATACAAATTGATCAAAACAGAGGACAGAATCTGTGTACCTGAAATTAAATCAAACAGAATTATCCAATTGGAAGAATAAGAAGGAAAAAAGATTACTGATGAAAAAAAGAAAGACCTTCAGAGATCTGTGTGAAAAGGTCCAAGAATCTAACATGTTTATTTACATACAGAAATACAGAAGACAGAGAATGAAAGTGATATGGTGGCGCACATCTGTAATCCCAGAAGCAAGAAGATCTTGAGTTCATGGCCAGCCTTGGAAACTTAGTAAGAGCCTGTCTCAAAACACAAAATAAAAAGGACTAGAGATGTGGCTCAGAGATGGAGTGTCCCTGGGTTCAGACCCAGTAATGATGGGGAGGTGGGGAATGTTTGAGGCAGGGGAAGGGAGAGATAATGATCAGAATACTATTTAACTGGTGGTCAAACATTTTACAAATTTAGTAAAGAAATAATTCAGAGATTCCAGAAGTTTAAAAAACTCCAAGTAAAAAAACCATGAAGATCATGAATAGAAAAATTGATGAAGACTAAGCTAAAGGTGAATGAAACTCTTGAAAATATTAGAGAAAAAAACACATTACTACAAGGGAGCAAGGACATGCCTAAACAATAGGTATCAGAATTGCAGTGAGGTTCTTAAAATGGTCAATGTTATAGTGCAGATCTGGAGCATCCCCTAGAAGCTCCTGTATTCAAGGCTTGTTCCCCAATGCAGCCATGTCCAGAGGTGGGGCTTTTGGGAGGTGAATGGATCATGAGGGTTCTAATCACATCAATGCATTAATCCACTTGATGAGTAATCTGAATGGACTACTGTGAGGAGGTGGAAACTACAGATAGATGGAACATGATTGGAGGAAGTAGATCAATTGGGAACTATATCTTGTCCCTGGATCCTTTTTGTCTTTTTCTTTCTTTCTCTCCCTCCCTCCTTTCTAGCTTCCAGGCTGCCATAAGCTGATCAGCTCTCTTTCACCACACCCTTACCATAATGCTCTGCCTCATCTCAGGCAGAAAGCAGTGGAGCCCACCAATGTGGACTGAAACTTCTATAAACTTGAGCCCAAATAAACCTTTCTTCCTTTAATGTTTGTGTCAGATATTTTGATCACAGTAGGACTAAACCTGACTAAGAGTGAAAGAGGAAAAGTAAGTCAAACCAGCTTTCATATCCAGGAAAAACGCCCCTCAAGAAAATAAAGGAGGGGGTGTATATGCAGCTACATGGTAGCCCTTGTAGTCCTCGAAAGGCTATGTGTTTGATACCTAACTGGGTGGGGGCAGGGGAGGATTTGAAAACAAGAACAACATGTTCTTGTTTAACTTTTAACTACAATATCATCGCTTTCCAGGTTTTTGTTTATTTTGTATTTTTTTTTGTTTTCCATTTCTCTTCACAAAGTTACACAAATATTTTCTTTAAAAGTTTTAACATA